TGGGACACCCCAGGAGGGACTGGGACACCCTGGGAAGGGACTGGGACACCCCAGGAGGGACTGGGACACCTCGGGAGGGGCTAGGACATCCCAGGAGGGATCAGGACATCCTGGGACAGGACTGGGACATCCCAGGACGTACCGGGACACCCCAGGAAGGGTCAGGACACCCTGGGATGGGACTGGGACATCATAGGAAGGGCTGGGACACCCCAGGAAGGGCCAGGACATCCCAGGAGGGACCAGGACACCCTGGGACAGGACCAGGACACACTGGGAAGGGACTAGGACATCATGGGAAGGGCCAGGACACCCCAGGAGGGACTGGGACACCCCGTGAGGGGCCGGGACACCCTGGGATGGGACTGGGACATCCCAGGAGGGGACTGTGACATTCTGGGAAGGGCTGGGACATCCCAGGAGGGACCAGGACTCCCTGGGATGGGACTGGAACATCCCAGGAGGGACTGGGACACCCTGGGAAGGGCCAGGACACCCCATGAGGGGCCAGGACATCCCAGGAGGGACCAGGACACCCTGGGATGGGACTGGAACATCCCAGGAGGGACTGGGACATCCTGGGAAGGGCCAGGACACTCCAGGAGGGGCCAGGACATCCCAGGACAGGACCGGGACACCCTGGGATGGGACTGGGACACTCCAGGAGGAACTGGGACACTCCAGGAGGGACCAGGACTCCCTGGGATGGGACTGGAACATCCCAGGAGGGACTGGGACACCCTGGGAAGGGCCAGGACATTCCAGGAGGGATCAGGACACCGTGGGATGGGACTGGGACACCCTGGGATGGGACTGGGATGCCCCAGGAAGGGCTGGGACATCCCAGGAGGGACCAGGACACTGTGGGAGGAACTGGGACATCCCAGGAGGGACTGGAACATCCTGGGACAGGACCAGGACACCCCAGGAAGGGCCGGGACATCCCAGGAGGGACCAGGACATCCTGGGACGGGACCAGGACACCCCAGGAAGGGCCGGGACATCCCAGGAGGGACCAGG